TTATTATTATTATTATTATTATGTTGTTATAATTATTGTGCTTATAATGAGAATAATATTTGTGAAAAGGTCGAATGTTCATGGCGGCGCAACACAGTAACTACGAAGCAGCAATGCCGGATTGTAGATCACTGGCTCAGCTGAGCCAAGGAACGTCCTCTTCAGTGCAATCAGTACCAATGATCATTCCATCGATCATTCCCAGTAATGTGGTCAGTTGATATAGTTGTGTTGAGATGTAAGTAAGTAAATAGTAATTGTAAGTGTTCAGATGATGTGTCTATCGCCCACACCAGCAGCACTGGGCAACAGCATGCAACAACCGTATATGTCGTCAACGAGGTGTGTTAAATACACTCTGTATGCAATAGAGTGAAATATAGTGGTGATAAACGAGTGGTACCATTGAAGTGTGATTTAATATGCAGAAAAAGTTGGGAATGTATTTGGGCTTGTTGATAGCGGCGATTAATAAATAGAGACTCTGATTGATAGATCGATGTCATTGATGCGATCTTACTCACTTCTGTGTGCTTCATTTCAGTTACTACTTGAGAATACGCTATATTGTTGTTATTTTAGTATTATTTTTATTTTATTATTATTGTTACTAGTATTGTTATTATTATTATTTTATTATTATTGTTATTTGTATTGTTATTATTACTATTATTTTATTATTATTATTGTTATTATTATTACAGAAATAATATGGCCGAAGAAAAGGATCGCACACCCTCTCCAACTAGCGAAGTTGGTTCATTTTAAAAATTCGTATTGTTATTGCTTTTGTTATTATTATTATTATTATTATTATTATTATTATTATAATTGTTATAAGTGTAATTGTAAGTAGAAATAATGATAAAAAAAGCAAAAATAATATTATAGCAAATGCTCGGTAATAAGATAAATAGTGAGATTAGAAGAGAGCACTCGAGAACGTCAACAACCATGCGAATCGTAAGGGTGTATATGATATGATATGATATGAGTGTACTGCTTACTGCTTATCGACATAATCACTCCTGTTAACACACAGCGCGAAGCACTCACTTTTTATCATGCACATGACTTTGTTTTATTTTATTCAACTGATCAGAGTTCTTAGCAAACGCATGTTTATTGAAGAGTTTATCGTGATCACGTCATAACCTTAGTTGCTTACCTTAGTGTAGTGTACTTAATTATTAGGGCGTGTGCACTGGACGACTGCTCTTCTTCATACATCAATGAACATTCTACTGCACATTAAAGCACTTTATATTTATTGATTGTTATATAGTTGTTATAGTAATGATTACTATTGCATAGTAATTAGGGTTTGTCTTAAAATAGTGTTTGGAAATTTACAGCGTTCCTCACCATTACCTGAGTCCGCACAATCGCCAACAAATTTGGACGGGAATTCAAGAGTTGGTCAACTGAACCCGACATCCAACAAAGCTAGGTAGTGTGTGTTCTGCTGGGTGTTAATAGTAGTAATAGTAGAGATATTGTAAGTAAGTAAGTTTATTGTAAGTAATAAAGTAATTTATTGTTAGATATGTTGGACCTGTCGATCCACAGACAAACGAGGGTCTACTTGTTCCGAATAATGCCCAACGTCAGGTCACATCGTCTATCAAGCAAGTACGCATTTACAGCAGTCTTAGCTAGTTATAATTATCACTAGTTATGATTGTTATATAGTAATAGTATAATAGTAATAATTGTTATGCGATAGATTCAACGAGAGGCGCTCGCCAAAAAGCATGCACCGCCACAATTAAAGGTACCACCACGAAACACTAGCAACGGTCCAATCTACGAAAGTGGAGAGAATGTTTATCACACAACGAATGTTCATTATGAATCACCTGGTGGACCTAGTGCAGGTAATATTAATTAGACTGGGCTTTGAGGGTGACGACGTGAGCATTGCGAGTTATTTCAGATAGCCAAGCCATACGAGAACCACCACCGTTACCTGTTAGAGACTCTGCGATGGCTACGAAACGTACTGAGGTGAGAGCCAATAAAGATAACAACAGACACGCATCGTTTGCAGATGATGAACATCTTGAAGAGCAACATTATAGTGACACTTTAATGCATACACAGCAAACTGCAAAGGTGACTTATCATTATTATTGTTACTGCTGTTGATTGTGCTTATCATCATGATATTACTATTGAATAAGTCTACAGCCTAAGCAGTCTAAGCAACGTGAAAAGACGAGAAGCAACGTTGTTCACGGCGCAACGTCGAATTCTGAGCATTTTACACCGGGTCGTCTACCGTTAGTCAGTCAGCCGCCAGTGTCAAAGGGTGACCTCGAAAGGGATGCAATACGTAAAATTCAAGAAAAAGCTCGTGTAAGCTATTATTATTATTATTATTATTATTATTATTATTATTATCATTATTGGTATTATTATTAGTGATTATTATTATGCAAATGAAACTGTAACTTATTCTAATTGTAAGTGATTTCAACTGTTACAGAATCTGCCTCCACCAGTGGAGGAGACACGTTTCCTAAGAGCGAAATCAGCCAAGGAACGCATAGCGATAGAATACAAGCCAATGGAACGATCGTTTATTATAAACAACGATATGAACGCTAGCGCATACAACTACGCCGTTAACAGCACTAATGTAGCACCGCTACCATACGGCGGTCATGAGAGTAGTGGCGGGCAGAATGTGGACCCTCGACGACAGCAGCAATTAATGATGCGTATGGCTGCTGCTGCAGCTGCTGCTACTGCTAAAAATAACATGCCCGACACAATGCAACAACTACAACAGGAACTAAACAGCAATTTCAGTAGAATGGATAACACTGCAGACAGTAGTAATTGGTCTGCTGCTTATAAGGTTCGCTCTTAAAGGGTGATTTGAGTGATCAGGTGTTATGACGATATTATTATTATTGTTATTAATATTATAGTTATTACTAAAATCATTTTTCATTAATGTAATTGTTACGATTTGAGCCGGAACAACCGGCAGTAGAGCCATCAAAAGTTGGTGAATGGGTATATGAATCGGATGTGGTTCGTAATGAGCGTAAAGAGGCCAGATTTCGACCGCAGCAACTTACTAGCAATTTATACGCACGCGGAGTACAGCAACCAGCAGCAGCACCACCACCGCCACCACCGCCACCACCCGGTATCTATAGATTGATTTGTTAAGGGCTGTGATAAGTAACCTAAAACGCTAGCGTTGTTCGTTTACAAACTCTCTGTATTGATAGCTGTGTGTGTTTTGCGATCAATACGATTATCTGTCTGGTCATGATAGTTTATTGTGGATAAAATGATGATCAAAGTCACAAAATTAAGCGACACAAGCCGGACGAGTCTCATCGCCACCAGTGCAAAAGCCGAAGACCATTAAAAAGTCTGATAATAAGGTCAAAATCAGTCAAAAGAGCGATACTAAGGCCGTAACTGATGCGATGACGACCCCATCAAAACAAGCGCAAAACCGTGCAAATGATAAACAGAAACCTGCAGTACAGTATGCGAAACAGCCATGGGAATTGACCATCCGTAAGGAGGTAGGTATATTGCTGTTATTATTATTGTTGTGGCTGTGGCTGTTATTAATAGCAATACTAATTTTACTGTGTGCATAGACTATTAGAGACTAGAGAAGTTTGTTTGTTGCTTTCAGTTGTTTTATCCATTCGAGCAGCTTGACGATATGCAAGAAATTGATTTGGTGTTCAGTCAAATCATTAGCGATTGTCGCAAGCAAATACCGTATCGTATACGGAGTTTTGAGCGTGATTCTATCAGTCAAATTCTGAGTGAGTTTCTTTTATTGTTATTATTATTATTATTGAAATTGTTATTGGTGGTATAATTAAAATGGTGTATTTTCTATTGAATGTAGTTGTGGTTGTTGTTGTTGTTGGTGTTTTTGTGGTGATTCAAGAATGGTTGCAGGACGAAATAACATTCCACCGTCAGCACTCGATCATCCCGAGCAGATAGCGGTCGAAGTGAAAATGCAGGTGATACAGACTGTACGTAAATGGCCACTTTACTTTTGTCGATTGTATCGCGTTGTGGAGGAACGTGAAAGGGACGGTGTGGGACGTTTGCTGGGCATTAGTGAATCGGGCATTAGACTCATCTCGAGGAATATGGACAGCGATACTGAGCCATTGTGCATTACGGATCATTTTGAGTGAGTTTTATTCGGGTTTTATTTGGATGCAGTTTTATTTATTGCTGTTGTTGTTACGATCGATATTTAGTGGCAATAAGGTTGTATTCGGGATTACGTGGAAGTAGAGTGGGCGTTTTTAATGCGGTGCATCATTTGATAATTGTTATTGTGTTGTGTAGTGTGTAATTGATATTCAATTTGAAGTTATTGTGATATAGCTGAATTGTATTTGGAAGATATAAACCATCTGAAACTGGTCACTCGTAAGGGTATTAATGTGTCGTTACGCAGTGCACAAGCCGAGCAGATTCGTTCAGCAATCGAGAAGTTTATCACTGGAAGTGGCAAGGTGACTTCTTCTTCGTTACTATTATTACTATTGTTTTTAGTATTATTGGCACTTTTTTACTTTGGGGGGTCGCACGCGAGCAAACTCGCGTACAATAATAAAAACATACGCTCGCACACTACGAACGACGCGCTCACATGGACCGAAGCCACGCCCACTGCGCATGGCTTCAGCCTTAGCGTAGTCTCAGCCTAAGCCTAAGCCTGAGCTCGCTTGCTAGCCTCTGTTGTAGCATCGAGCGTTCTGAGGCTACAATTAGATGAGGCTGAGGTCACACTTAGGTTGAGGCCATGCGCAGTAGGCGTGGCATGCGTGGGCGTGCTTGCGTGCGACCCCCCAAAGTAAAAAAGTACCTTATTGTTATTATTGTAATTACATTGGCTTATGTGATTTGCAGGTGAAAACATTTGTTAGAGCCACAGCAGATTACGTAACAAAAGAGCCGAATTTGCTGAGTTTTAAGAAGGGTGATGTGATTCAAATAATCACTCGTAATGACACTTACGCGCCGTTGAATGGCAATTGGCTCTACGGTAAAATTGGTAATCAGTACGGCAATCTACCAGCAAATTACGTGCAGCCACTCGATACGGTTAATAGAGATCGCTTTGTTTCATTGCTGCTGCCATATTCATATGATCGCAATTACTATTCTTATTCATTGTTTCAGCCTGACGATTTGCAAAACTCTGACATGTACTCACCGACAGGCAACTTCGATGAAATAGTAGGTTTTTGCTTGGTATTCATTTCATTGTTGCTATTATTACTATTATTTTGCAGTAGTAAGTGTAGCAATAGCAAGTGAGTAAGTAAGTGATCGATCGCATCGTGTGCTGATTGAATAGCGCACAGAAATGGTAAGTGAGTAGTAGTGCAGTAGCAGCATAAAAAGTAGTATTGTAATTGATATGACAACAATGGTGTGTGTGTGGTGGTGATGATACGGTGTAGGCACTCACCCATAGAGATGGTATTTTTACTTTGAGAAATAAATGATTATTGCAGAAATTCGTCGTCTTCATCATAGTTGTAATTTCTTTACTTTCTACTATACCTACCTACTTACCTACCTACCTACCTACCTACCTATCTATCTATCTATCTATCTATCTATCTATCTTCTGTCTTCTATGTGAATGAATAGTTGGTGGGTTAACGAGGAGGAGGAGGAGGAGGAGGAGGAGGAGGAAAGAACTCGTTTGAATAGTTGATCAATTGAATGTTACTTGTAAATTGTAAACGATTAAGAAAAGATATAGTATGTGCACAACAAATAAATGATGATTTTTGCTGTTGGAGATAGTAGAAGATAGATTATTCAATTTGGGTTGTTGTTCAATTGAATGTCTTTATAATTGATGACAGTCGTCATCGTAATTTGGTCGTCTGTTAGTTGTTTGTTTGGTGCTTAGTTGAAGAATAATGTCTGAAAGAGTGTCCGTTCGTCAAAGTTGGTTGGTTTCGTGTATGGCTCGCTAACAGGCAGGCAGGCAGGCAGCATATGAGGACGACGGACGAGTCAAGAATCAAGTTGAGTCAAAACGATGGGACGGACGTTTCAATTGGGATGATGGGATGGATGCATGTATTCAAGGCATTTCATGTGATTATTTAGTAAAAAGCTTTCAAAGAAATCAACAACCGACTAACTTCCTGTTCTTCTTCTTCTTCTCTGTTAAAGTTGCATTTTTCTTAAAACATCTTAAATGGTCTGTCTGTAGCGTTGTTCTTAAATGGCATTTGTCTTGTTCGTGTAGCAGTGGCATTAATTGCATGATCATTATTATGATCACATAAGATCAATGCTTGCTTTCGTTGCTTTCGTCTGTCTCTTCTTGTTGATTTATTTCTTCATTAAACAACCATTTCATTTCACAACGCTCTCAGTGAACACAACAACAACAGCAACAGCCATAGCAATATGCAACATTTCTAGTCATTCACTTTAATAAATCATTAACTTAATTTAATGTCCTCTTGAATGAATACGTAGATGATCACCTTGTTGATAGCCGCCCAATAAGTTGTTTCAGATGTCAGTCACCACTTAGATAGTAAGATGTAACAGAACACGTAACAGACCTGAAATTATTTGTGGCAGTAGGCTTGAATTGAATTGGAGTGGAGGGAGTGTATTGCTTGTTGAATTCACACGAGTGAGTATACGACAAATGGAATATAAACAGTAGCAGTACAGTACAACAGTGTGCATGCATGCAGCATTTACTGAAGTAGTAATAGTAGATGGAGCTAGCCCTCTGTCTACCTAGATTAGGTGAGATTGAAGCTGGCACGATTGATGTATGCCGTCAATAGAACCGTCATCATCATCATCAGTAGCAGCAGCAATACTTCAACTGAACACTTTTCTATGAATTTTTTGGTGTGGTGTTTGTTTTTTGATTGGGTTAATTCAAATCTTCTTATTCAATTTAGTTCAGATCAGTTGAATTGAATTGAGTTCAGTTGATTGATCTATCATGTTGAATTGAATTGAACAAATCAATTGATCTATCAAATCAGTTGAATTGATAGAAGATTGAAGACAAATACTATTCAATAGCAAGTATTCTTTACATTAAGAGAATTTATAAGTAAGAAATAAACGAGAAAATAATGTTTGTGTGTGTGTGTGCAAATGCATATGCAAGTTACCTGTTACCTGTTTGATGACGGCGGTGTTGCTTCGTTCGTTGCATTGCAATGTTCACTTGGGTGCTTCAATTTGATTTAATTCCACCGCTCAGTGCCTCCTCCTCGTCGTCGTCCTGAAAATTCCTTTGCTCGTGCCGTGTCGAATGTCGCCTGATGATCATTTTTGCCTTTTGCCTTACATCACTATCAATTCATTTCATTTCTCTTCTAATTCTTTCTATTGCTCTAATTAGTTTTTATCATCGTCTCATCATCGTCATCATCATCATACATCTGTCTTCATGCATTTACCTATCTATCAATTTGTATGTCTCTATCTGAATGAAAACAGTAGCAGCAGTAATAATTACCATAATTATTTCCTTTTAACGAAACACCTCACTCAGCAAATTTTTAGATTGTTTTATTTCACTTCACTTTATTGTGTATAATCTTCCGTTTCGCATCCTCCTCGTCCTTCTGCTCGTTATTATTATTATTGTTAGTATTATTATTATTATTGTTATTATTTTTATCACTGACATCAAATTCCATTCATTTGAAGTTATCGTCGTTTCCTTTAAAATCTCCTTGTTCTGCTCGGTTNACTTTATTGTGTATAATCTTCCGTTTCGCATCCTCCTCGTCCTTCTGCTCGTTATTATTATTATTGTTAGTATTATTATTATTAGTATTATTATTATTACTATTATTGTTATTATTTTTATCACTGACATCAAATTCCAATCATTTGAAGTTATCGTCGTTTCCTTTAAAATCTCCTTGTTCTGCTCGGTTCTCTTCTTCACTAGCAATATAGATGAGCAATTGATTGATGAATTGATTTAGGTTGCGTTATTTCTTTTGAATTGATCTTGTGTTATTTATTTTACTCGCTTTCATGCTTGGCTACTACTAGCGCCCCTCTTCGACGATTGATTTTATATGATATTGTGTTAGTATATTATGATAATTATTCATACGAACAAGCACATACCTAATTTCAGTGTTACAGTACTCTTATTGTTTTTATTGTTTACTGCTAGTGCTATTGCTAGTGTTGCTGTTGCTGCTGCTGCTGTTACTGTATTACTGTCGTCATATCATTAAGTGAATGATATTACTAGTACAATGGTATAATAGAGCTGCTGCATGTGACGAGAGAGCTGAATTGTTTTGATTGTATTCATTTACTTGGTGGTTTGCATATTGCATGCTTATTACTGCCGGAAACTTTATTAGCAGTCAGTTGATCGAAGACGACTGATATTTTGTTTGATCATCATCGTATATGGGACAGTTTCAGTGTGCTCTTGATTGATTGATTCAGAAAGCGATTTGTATTTACTTGTTTCGTCCCATTACCATTACTCTTCAACGTTATCATTGTCTTACTTATTACTATTACTACTACTGCTACTACGTTGTTATTTGATCGAATGCTCAGCACCTACTTTGATCATCATTCATCAAAATTCTGATAATTATTATTATGGTCACGACATTAACATTCCACATCATCAAATTTACTACCTAAACGTTGAACTGATCGTCTGAATTGATCGACGTGAATAATAATAATAATAATAATAATAATAATAGTAATCGTTGAGCTGCCTGCTAAGTTAGCTGATTTGCAGTGATCGTTATTGCTAAGTGACCTTGTAGAGCGCTTCGAATCATAGCGGCGTATTATTTACATTTTTACGCAGTGAAATTTTCAAATGATTGAAATGAAAAACGATGGATAGATTGGAGAGTGGTTTTGGTGTTGAATTTAGTGGGGACAGGGAACGGAGTCAACTGGGACGTATGGACGATATGACTAGCACTAGTTATGGTAGTAGACGTTCTCGACCTGCAGCAGCAGCAGCAGCAACAGTAGTGCATGGTGAAACACGCATTATACCTACTCAAATAACAGATACACCGTCATCGTATCGAGAAGAAACAGCAGCAGTAGCAGCATCGAGGAATTACCGAGGAGAAGGTGGAGGAGGTATGCGACGAGTTGCGGCGCATGGGCTGACAGCATCGGGCAGTGGTGCTGCTGCTGCTGCTGCTGCTCATTACGAGCCCGATTATCAGTCGTTCGACGGTCGACAAATGGCTTCGGCTGATCGATTCGGCGGCGGCGGCGGTGGCGGCGAAAATCGAGTGGCGTTTCCAATGCAACAGCAAACAGAATGGCGCTTCGAGCCGAAACGTCGTTCGTATCGTTCAAGATCATTGGACAATCAACGAGATTTCATAATCGATGACTATTTGTTGACATCAGAACGGGCTCGTATGAAGACACCGGCTGTGGATTACCCGTTGGATTCAGCGTCAATTCGACACTGGTCCGATGCTCGATTGGCCGGTGGTGGTAGTGGTCGACGTCATTTGGACGCTGAGTTTTGGGACGATCAACGATACCGATCGGCAGATACCGGACGACATGCGTTTTTGGATGATAATATGTCGGCGGTAAAAAAGAGACTCTCAGAACGAAGACAAGGCAGCTATCCATACAGAGATGTATCAACACGTAACTATGAATATCAACCAAATACGGTGGATATTGAGTCGAGTTGGAACGCGCCTCTAGCTGACGTTCTTCATAGCGATGAACGAGCACTGCCTCCTTCTTCGTATCGTACCTCTCAGTTGTACGCTGATGACGATGAATGGAGTCGCTCAATGGCACGACCAACCACCTATCGTGATCAGTTCGGAGGCACTGCTGAATTGATGAGCACTGCTAATGCTAGAACATTACCTTCGTTAAAACGTAGTGACGGTGTTGGTGTTGCAGCAACGAGCACAAGCAGATTGCGTCATGAGAAGTCTCCAGATAAGAGGATTAGCGGAACAGGTGCTATTGCATCGTTGTTGGGCGCTAGACGACACGGTAAATTCACAACAGTGAGTGGTCGAAGCAGTGGAGGAGCAGTGGCTGCTAGCGGGATTACGAGTGCAGCGGGCACCAGAAGTGGTCTAGGAGCATTGTTTCCGTCATCGTCAACATCAGCTGCTGCTGCTGCTGCAGCTACTACAAGTTCACGATCAAGAGGTGTGCTTGATAGTGAGTTCAAGCCTCAGTCTCAATCACCATTTAATATAGACACAACACACGCCTCTTATTATCCATCTGTACACGCTCTAACGTCCACTGATAATCAACAGCAGCAGCAACAACAACAGCAACGCTTTGGTACAATGAAAACAAAAACTACAAAGAAATTTCATCGGTTTGGTGGTGGTGGTGGTGGTGGTGGTGCAGGTACCTTAAAACCGAAATCTCGTTCAAAATCCAATGAGTTCATCTACTCACCGTCTTCGTCAACAGGCCTCACACATTCGGCAACACTGGCCGCTAGTGGTGGCTCTGCAAAATATGACGCTTTTAGTGGTGGTGGTGGTGGTGGTGGTGGTGGCATGATGAGTACGACTGAGTCAACTGGGCTTGAAGGAGGGCTTGCTGCAAACCGTTCCACATCACTCACATATCGCCCTCATTCACAATACTACCAAGCACAACAGCCAAATCATTTCTCGTACGGCACTGCTCCTCCATATGAAACTAGTGCCGATCGAAGCGGCACCGAAATGTTCCATGCAGATGAACGTTTCGTAGCGCCATCGATATTGATCAGCGGTGATCAGGGCTCATCATATGCTCAGTATCGACAGCATCGTAGTGGTCTTTCATCAGATGCAATCAAAACACTCGAACCACTATCAATAACCACAAGCACAACATCAGATCCTCGCCAACATCGAACCATGACATTCAACGTTGCCACTGATAATAAGCGATATCCACCACCACCACCACCAGCTGCACCAGTATCAACATTCGAGAACGTCACTAGTATGGGTGCCGCCGAGCAGAAATTTTATAAAATACATTGTTGTTGTATGAGTTTTCGATGGCCACCGTGGCGTTACGAGGAGGTTGATGCACCGCAACCAATCTATCGTCATCAACAGTGAGGCAACCGATCGATCGATCGATCGATCGATTGATTGATTGATTGATTGCATCGGTTATATCTCATCTCTCTCTCTTCCCCCCCCCCTCCTCCTTTAATCTCATTTATGCCATCATCCCATCGGGCTAGCTGAAGGGTGTCGACAACAACATATGAATTGAAAGTTGCCTGTCTCATGTGCAGATTTAGGTTTAGTCTCAGCACCGTCTCGAAACGATTATTGCATAGTGTCGACACTTTTCAGAGGCCTCCTTACAATTCGTCAATTTCTAAGCAGTTGCTATTGTTAGCGATCGCTATCGTTTCTCAGTGTGCATTCATGATGCTATGCTAGAGTCTTTAAAACTTCTGTACGTTAAACAGAATAATTATTCAACGTGTCTACTCCTACTTCTACTCTTACTACTATACTACCATAAGCTTGCTCTTATCTCTCGTGATAAGATTTTCATTAAATTAAACTATCAACTTAAATATTTCACACATATATACAAATGAATATGATTGTTCATTATTCATCCAGTTTGATTCGTTATAAGTCATAATAATTTTGATTGTTCGTCTTCTTATCGATACCATTATAACTGTCTTTATTGTTATTGTTATTATTATTATTATTGTTATTGTTACTATTATTATTACTATTATTATCATTACTATTACTATTATCATTACTGTTGTTATTCATTTGACTTACTAAATTATTTTTTGTTGTTATATGATCGTAATCGATTCGCATAATTGATTCTATGCCACTTATACTAATTTCAAAGCTCACTGTTAGTGCCAATATAACAATGAAATGATTATTCTATGGATCACCTATAACTCGTCGCGCATTCCATCACATCAATACCACACCACCACCTATCAAACCACTGACAGTCATTTCTTTTCTATTATAACAGTGCACTGACTATAGATAATTTATTTGTGAGAAATGTGAGCATATTTATCAAAATACCTGCTGCATACATATAAGATCACGGTTTGTATGGTATCAGTGAGGATAATGATAGCAGTAATGGTAATAGTAATAATAATAATAGTAATAATAATAATAATAATAATAATAATAAATGCCAAAAACATGAAGCAAGGTTGAATTGTTATGCAAAGAATGGATTAGCGGATGCATCGTATGTGATTGAAGGGAGTTAATTAAGTTATATTGCTATTTTCATTATAATCATCTTTAATATACTATTTTATTATTACTATTATTATTATTATTGTTATTATGATTAGTATTATTGTAATGATTATTATAAATGATTAAGGACTATGGAGAACATATCCCATTGGATATGGACAATACGATCACGAATGCGGACGGCACACGTGAGAATAAATATTCGATGATGCAGTTCGCTTCGCTCTACTTTAGACGAGCCAAAAACGTGCTGAATGGTGATTCGTTAACAGCACAACGCAAAAGTATTTCATTATTACTTTATAGTATTGCTGTCGTCATTACTGTTATGGTTGTTAGTTGTAAGTGACTATATTTAAGTGAGTATTAATAATAATAATAATAATAATAATAATAATAATAATAATAATGGTTTTTAGAAAAGGATAGCAATTTGAAAGACTTAAATGAAAAAATTAGATTTACCGAACGGCCAATATCACATTCACTGCTTAAACTGGATAGTAATGAAGCAGATAAGCAAGCCCAAGAAGCATTCATATGTAAGTGTATATGTTTATTATTATTGCTATTATTATTATTATTATTGTTGTTGTTATTGCATTTATAAATAATTAACAGGTATAATGCGTTATATGGGTGATGAGAGCTTGAAAAGGGGACAGACCTTGACAGATTGTGTTTATGAGTTGCTGATGATATGCCATCAGTACCAGACGTTAAGTGACGAGGTCTATTGTCAGATTATTCGACAAACCACTCAAAATAAAAGTCCTCGGTGTGTTTTATTATTATTATTATTATTATTGTAATTATTATTATTATTGTTATTGTTATTATTATTGTTATTGTTATTGTTATTGTTGTTATTGTTGCGATTATATGAATATTTATTGTGTTAATTTCAGTGCGGATAGTTGTATAAAAGGATGGCGTCTATTTAGCATTTTAACAGCGTATTTCGGTTGTTCTGATGTGTTAAAGCCGTATTTATTTAAATATCTCTCGGATGAGTCAATTGATTATAAACGACCTTATCATGGTGCGATTTTGATTTGGGGCGCTTTAATGTGTTATTATTATTATTGTTATTAATTTGTTGTTTGTTATTATTATTATTATTATTAAACAAGTTATTAAAATTGTTGTTATTATTATATTTGACGTTCGGAACGTAATTGTTTTATTATGAAGATACCGCGTTGATATGCCTTCAAAATCTGGCCAAGACGTTTAAATACGGTGGAAGAAAATTCTTGTTGAGCGGACGTGAAGTTGAGGCGATAACGGTTATTTTTATTTGTAGTATTATTGTTATTTATTATGATTATTCATGATGATTGTTTGGCACTTTTTTACTTTGGGGGGGGGGGGTCGCACGCGAGCAAGCTCGCGCATGCCACTTGGCCTACTGCGCATGGTTTCAGTCCAAGGTGACCTCAGCCTCATCTAAGTGTAGCATCAGATCGCCGGATGCTACAGCAGAGGCTAGCAAGTGAACTCAGGCTTAGGCTTAGGCTGAGACTACGCTTGGGCTGAAGCCATGCGCAGTAGGCGTGACATGCGCGAGCTTGCTCGCGTGCGACCCTGCCAAAGTAAAAAAGTGCCCATTGTTTTTGTTGTGATAATAATGATGATTAATAGATGGGAAAGAGTATGAAACAACAATTGTATCACTTACCCGGAGGACACAAGACGGTGGTGAATACGAAGGCGGTGACCGTTGTCGAGGAGATCATCCAGCAGCTGTGCATCGAACTCAACATCCGAAGTGCGGCCGAACAGCAGGAATTTTGCCTGTGTTATATACTCGAATCTGGTGATTATTATTAGCAGTGTTATTGTTATTGTGATTGTTATTGTTATTAATGATGTAAAAAATTGAGAGAGTACAATGAAGTTGTTGTCAAATGATGAGTACATATTGGATGTATGTACTGAACTGGAGCATCAGAAGAAGGATTACTTCTTGTTATTGAAGAGGACCGTTTGGATTCATCCACTGCGTCTAGATAACAGCCTTTATATCGATGTGATGTTCTTCCAGGTATTGTTTGTTACAGATTAGGGTTGTTATGATATATTTAATTGAAGTGTTTGTTCGTTGAATATCTGTCTATCGTTCATTTCATTTATGTTTTCTGTTTCAAGGTGCTACCGGATTATATTGAGGGATTTTTGATAGCGCCGAATACGAACGCGTTGAGTGCGGTGTGCTTAGTGAGTTGTTATCATTATTGTGATTGTTATTATTATTATTGTTATCACAAATTGAATTACTTTGAACGTTACAACGTTACAGGATGATGTGGCTCGTCTTGGAGCATATCTACATTTATCTGATAGTAACGTAGCCGCACAAAACACAGTAGTTTTGCCGTATGTTTCTTATAATTTGTGTTTGTATTATAGTGATTGATATGGGTGGTTATTATTTGATATGGAAGCAGTTGGTTGTAAAGAAATTTTGTTATGCAGCTGAATATGGTTGCGATGAGATTTATTGAGATTGCAGACAAAACGTACACATGCTGTTGCCACAGTCGATTGTCGGTACACGTCCGGCTGAGCAATGGACCGAGCGAATCAATCGAAAATTAATGGAAATGAATACAATGATGTCACCTATAGAAGCACGAGCTGCTTTCTTAGGTAAGGCAGCTGCGATACGACTAATAATCATTGTTGTTGTCGTCATTGTTGATCGATCGATAACTGATCGATCGCAATCATTGTTGCTCGATCGATAATAGTGATTGATGCAGTATTGATCGTTTTAGAAGTGTTGGAGAGATGGCCGCTATTTGGATCGACTTTCTTCTATATACAAAGTTTGGTTGACAGTGAAATGAATTTGATGATTGGAGAATGTTTAATAGCGATTAATAAGTTTGGTTTGCGATTCTTAACGTTGCAAACGCACGAGACGGTCGCTGAATATAACCTAGCTCAGGTGATTATCGTTGTTTGTTATAATATTGTTACTATTACTGTTACTTTTTATTATTATTGTTAATCGCAAATTGAGATGGACTCAAAAAACATTTTAAAGGTGCTCTCAACGAATAACTATGAAACCGAAGACGGCAGCATGTACCTTGATATTAAGGTTGGAACAACTATTAATCAACGCACAATAACGCTCAATACAGATAAGGTATGCTTTTACCTTATTTAACATGAATATTTATTATTACTGTTATTAAATGACTGAATAATATTAGATAAGTGATTGAATGCATTACTATAAATATGCGTAAATTATTTATTGTTTGAAGGGTGCTGAAATCTCAAGACTTTTGGGACAGTATATTTATGTGGACAGTGAGAATCTAGGGTTTATCAATGGAGGCGAGATCGATTTGGTGCCGTGATGATAGCGAAAGCGATTTTTTATTATTGAAGGTGTTATATTATAAGCGAATTATTATCATTATTATTCGTTCGATTGTGATAATATACATACATATTTTTTTGTTATTATTACTCCTCATTGAGCAGTTTGTATTGTATTACTAACCTTTATTATTTGTTGTTGTTATGATCATTATTGCTGTTATTACTAGTATTGTTATTATTATTATTATGATTATTATTATTGAAATTGAAATTGAAATTCAGTCTTCATAACATCAACACGGTAATACTAATGAATCTAACGAATAAAACTTTTATTATAATAGCCACTCATTCTTACAAACTCATTGAGCAAGTTTCAGAATTGGCTGTGAAAAGTAAGTAATTCGAGTATAATAGTGTGTAGATGATCATTTGAGTTAATGTAGAATCGATAATGTGATCTATAGAAACAATACGTGTGGACTATACGCAATTGAATTGAATTGATGGCTGTGGTTGTGTGAAGCGATCAAATAATTCGTATGAAAGTATAAAATGAAAAGAGAATAAACTGTTTTGATCAGTTTTGCCGCGCAATATGCAGTTAGTTGTTTTTTTTTGGTGATTGGGTATGAAAGAGTATCGATAAATCGAGAGTGATTCATTTATTAGTCAGTGGTTG